TTTTCAGTTCCCCGTCATTTGACCTTGACTTTGACCTTGAAGTTTGACCTTGATGAAAATGGTTTTTATTGTGCGGCTAGAACTTTGCATGGGCTACATTTTGGTGCCAAAATTTTGAAAATCGGACAATATTTAGTGGCACTTTTTTAGTTCCCTGTCATTTGACCTTGACTTTGACCTTGAAGTTTGACCTTGATGAAAATGGTTTTCGATGTGCGGCTAGAACTTTGCACGGGCTACATTTTGGTGCCAAAATTTTGAAAATCGGACAATATTTACTGGCACTTTTTCAGTTCCCCGTCCTTTGACCTTGAATTTGACCTTGAAGTTTGACCTTGATGAAAATGGTTTTCGATGTGCGGCTAGAACTTTGCACGGGCTACATTTTGGTGCCAAAATTTTGAAAATCGGACAATATTTACTGGCACTTTTTCAGTTCCCCGTCCTTTGACCTTGAATTTGACCTTGAAGGTCAAGGTTTAGGGGAGAATGGGTTCGATTTTCGTGATCCTCATGGTCCAATTGACCTTGGACGAGGTTTTGGCAAAATCGGTGCTCGTCGCTGGAAAAGTCGGTGGCGACGTAGCATTTTAAAGTTTCCCGTCCTTTGACCTTGAATTTGACCTTGAAGTTTGACTTTGATGAAACTGGTTTTCGATGTTCGGCTAGAACTTTGCACGGGCTACATTTTGGTTCCAAAATTTTGAAAATCGGACAATATTTACTGGCACTTTTTCAGTTCCCCGTCCTTTGACCTTTAATTTGACCTTGAAGTTTGACCTTGATGAAAATGGTTTTCGATGTGCGGCTAGAACTTTGCACGGGCTACATTTTGGTGCCGAAATTTTGAAAATCGGACAATATTTAGTGGCACTTTTTCAGTTCCCCGTCATTTGACCTTGACTTTGACCTTGAAGTTTGACCTTGATGAAAATGGTTTTCAATGTGCGGCTAGAACTTTGCAAGCGCTACATTTTGGTGCCAAAATTTTGAAAATCGGACAATATTTAGTGGCACTTTTTAAGTTCCCCGTCCTTTGACCTTGAATTTGACCTTGAAGTTTGACCTTGATGAAAATGGTTTTTAATGTGCGGCTAGAACTTTGCACGGGCTACATTTTGGTGCCAAAATTTTGAAAATCGGACAATATTTAGTGGCACTTTTTCAGTTCCCCGTCATTTGACCTTGACTTTGACCTTGAAGTTTGACCTTGATGAAAATGGTTTTCGATGTGCGGCTAGAACTTTGCACGGGCTACATTTTGGTGCCAAAATTTTGAAAATCGGACAATATTTACTGGCACTTTTTCAGTTCCCCGTCCTTTGACCTTGAGTTTGACCTTGAAGTTTGACCTTGATGAAAATGGTTTTCGATGTGCGGCTAGAACTTTGCACGGGCTACATTTTGGTGCCAAAATTTTGAAAATCGGACAATATTTACTGGCACTTTTTCAGTTCCCCGTCCTTTGACCTTGAATTTGACCTTGAAGGTCAAGGTTTAGGGGAGAATGGGTTCGATTTTCGTGATCCTCATGGTCCAATTGACCTTGAACGAGGTTTTGGCTAAAATCGGTGCTCGTCGCTGGAAAAGTCGCTGGCGACGTCGCCAACTTCACGGACATTGACAAGTATGCTTCAAAAGTGTTTCTACCTTGATGGTCTCTAATGGTTTCAAGTGTGTTTTGAGTATGGACTGGGTATCTATTAGTTCCCAATTGGTACCCTAATGGTTTCTAATGGTTTTTAAACATATACAAATAATAGACTTAGAGGTAATGGGAAGACCTTTGACTGGTTATACTTGATAAGCATCACTACAAGGCCTTGTTTTTTCATTAAATAAAAATGATTCGCAAAATCCACGCCGTTTCCGCTCATTTAAACAGCACTACTTTTTCTCTGTGTGCCTACGCTGGCGGCGCCCGACCGTTGGCGCCGGCCGGCCGCGCGGGCCGCGCCGGCGCCACAGTTCAAATCGGGCGTCGACGTCGGCCGGCTGGCCGGCGCGCCACCGGGTTTCGCGTTCGCTGGGCCTGGGACTGCCCGCGGTTGACCGGGACCCAGTCCTGCTGTAAAAGAGGAAGCTGAGCAGAATCACGCGGCTGGTGAGTGACTTTTCTTGTGCCTCTGTATGCGATATTCGTTTTAGTCGACTGCAAATACTGAAAATAGTTATTTGAATAAATTTGGTTGCATTTGGCATCTTTGTAAGTACTGAGTTTAACAGAAGTGAGAAAGAGGCTTAAAATTTGCGATCACAATTTATTTTGCCAGCAGAAAATTGTCAGTGCCATATTTGTTGTGGTCAGGCTGCCTAAATGACAATGCAAGTTGCATGAGCTTAAAGTTATTATATTGTGATATTTTACAAATGACCCTGTGTGGTAATTAATTAATTTGATCCCATCGCCCAATTAACCCGTGCTGTCCTGTACTGTTGCAGGCACGAACTTGCACCGGACAGACGCCGTCTACCGGCTCTACACGGGTCCAGATGGGCTGCATGCCTGCATTATAGCTACGTTCTGACTTCTGAAAATTCTGATCGCCACGGAAGATTAAGAAATCTATCTGTCAGAACAACAGACAGTATCACCGATCGGAATGATATTGTATCACATCGGTCATTGTGCCCATGTGGAATAGCGTACGTATGGCCCAGTGAATAACTACATTGTAATTCTGTTCTTGATTCTGATAGCAGTCGCCTCATCGATGTGGTGTTGACCATGCAACAACAATGTCCATGTGTAGTTAATGTCTAATGTTGGTAGGTACGTACTGATGAAAATGTATATGCGTGCAGAGTAAAACAATAAAAATAATTCACGGTGCAGTTTGTTATTTTATGCATGAAATGCATGGACTTCAAAAGGATCTTCAAATGGTAATCCAGCTGCCCAGTAAAAAATACCATTAGAAATTACCAGATGGTTCCAAATGGGAAAAACCATTTGACTTATTGAACACTTTTCCAAATGGTTCCAAAGAGGTTCCATTTGAAATGTGTCCAATTGGCCACCAATTGGTACCAATTGGAACCATTTCATGACCATTTGAAATGTGTCCAATTGGTACCAATTGGTGACCAATTGGACATATTTCAAATGGTCATGAAATGGTTCCAATTGGTACCAATTGGTGGCCAATTGGACACATTTCAAATGGAACCTCTTTGGAACCATTTGGAAAAGTGTTCAATAAGTCAAATGGTTTTTCCCATTTGGAACCATTTGGTAATTTCTAATGGTATTTTTTACTGGGAGGGGTAGGGGTAGTGGTAGGGGTAGTGGTAGGGGTAGTGGTGGAGGCAAAAGCAGAACAGTGGCTCGGGCTGATCTCAGCGGACGAGAGGTGACCTATGTGACCTGGCCTGACCCAAAGTGACTGGGGCTGACCCCTTTGACCCGTCTTGACCCCGTATCACCCAAATTTCATCCAACAACGCCCTCAGAACAGTTCTTTTTCTAAATTCTCTTCACATTTCCGTCCATATCTATGCTTCTAGACGACACATCGACATGAATCAAACACCATTCGAAAGCAAATTGGCTGGTGCCGCATTTTTTTCTACCACGCAGCAAAGCAAGTGGCGCAGCCGCTTGTCTATCTTACTATTTCAACAGGATCCATCTGTCTGTCTGTTTGTTTGTTTGTCCGCCACGCCGTGTAGTGGGTTCAATTTAGCCGGCCTACAGGGCAGACGGTACGGCGCAGGAGGCTGAAATTTGCACACCTTATAGGTGACAGAACGGGTCAGCGCCTTTTCTAGGTTCCAACTCGCTGGGGTGCACGGTTCGCGCGTGGCGCGCGCTGGAAGAACGCCAATGAAATTTTGATCGGTTCGTAGATCTTCATTGAGAGCCGGGGTCGACAAACTTTGTAAACTAAATGCATGCCGATCGGTGGCGGGTGCCTCGCATTGGCGGATGGTGAAATTGATTTTGATAAATGGTGGCGAAAGAATGTGTTGATTTTCGTTCAATAGGAACAGTTTGTGATACGAGTTAAAAAATGCACCGAGTTTGCCGCAAGGCGCCACATTTGTCTCAGGGCGTCATCTTTGCCGCAAATCGCACAGTTTTGTCAAATATGGTCCGATATGGGTGCAATTTGGTGCCAAGATGCATGCTCAATCGCCGGGTGAAAATGCGCCGCGTTTGTCGCAATGCGCCTCATATGCCACAAAGCGCCATTTCCGACAAATACGATTAAGCGTAATGGAATGGCACGAATAGGAGCAGGGCTGGGAACACTTTAAGTCTGATATTTTAGTACTGATTGGATCCAATTATTCTGTGACCTGACATGACCCGGCGGTGTTGGTAGGGGTAGGGGTAAGGGTAGTGGTAGGGGTAGTGGTAGGAGGGTGGTAGTAGGGGTAGTAGTAGTGGTAGGGGTAGTAGAAGGGGTAGTAGTAGGGGTAGGGGTAGTGGTAGGGGTAGGGGTAGGGGTAGGGGTAGGGGTAGGGGTAGGGGTAGGGGTAGGGGTAGTGGTAGGGGTAGTGGTAGGGGTAGTGGTAGGGGTAGTGGTAGGGGTAGGGGTAGTGGTAGGGGTAGTGGTAGGGGTAGGGGTAGGGGTAGGGGTAGTGTTAGGGGCAGTGGTAGGGGTAGTGGTAGGGGTAGTGGTAGGGGAAGGGGTAGTGGTGGAGGCAAAAGTTGAACAGTGGCCCGGGCTGATCCCATCGGACGAGAGGTGACCTTTGTGACCTGGCCTCACCCAAAGTGACCGGGGCTGACCCCTTTGACCCGTCTTGACCCCGTATCAGCCAAATTTCATCCAAGAAAGGCCTCAGAACACTTCTTTTTTAAATTCTCTTCACATTTCCGTCCATATCTATGCTTCTAGACGACACATCGATTTGAATCGAACACCATTCGAAAGCAAATTGGCTGGTGCCGCAATTTTTTCCTACCATGCAGCAAAGCAAGTGGCGCAGCCGCTTGTCTATCTTACTATTTGAACAGAATCCGTCTGTTTGTGTGTCCGCACATCGTGTAGCGTAGCGCCCAGACTGCGGCCAGCGGCGCGGGGTCCGCCGGTAATAACGGAACGTCCGAGGCCGACCGGCCCGTTCCGTTATTGGAGAGTGCTAGTGGTGAAATTACATTTTTTTTCTTAAAAAAGGCTTTGTTAATAGAAAATAAGATTAAAATATTTGCTTAGAAAATTTTAAAAATACAAATAACAATTATGTTAATACATATTGTACATTTCTTATTTAATATTTTATTATTTTGCTCCTCTATAAACGCAACCCGGCGTGCGCCATTCCGGATTCCCGTTGGTGTTAGAGGCATTTATCTGATCGTCCTTGTGATATTGCGCTTATTCAGGCTATTATACAGTATCGTAGCTACCTGAACTACGGTTCTTCGAGTCTGAAATGGGAAAAAGTCGGGCGAAGCACAGTCTGCGAGTTCTCCATATCGGTAAGAACTTATCTTGAATGTGCGCCATGTTTGTGCCATCTTGATGACTGTGGTCAATTCATGTGGATTTGTATGTGAATTGGTAAATTAATCCTAGTTTTTTTGTATCATCTTAGCTTTGTTGAAAATATAGCACAGTAAAATTTAGATCATACCTGGCAAATGCTGCAAATTTAAAGCAAATTAATCCATAGTTTGCCTCAGCAGTTTCGTAGTTTCTGTAACGCATGTGTCACCAATAGCTGAATGTGGACTAGTATGCTTAAATGATTATTTGTAAGTGTATATAGCCTCACCTTACCTAACCAAGCTGAATCTCACTTTAACAAACCTAACCTAAGCTGCAACCAGGGCATATTTTATTTTTCAATCTACTTACCTACTGCGTCCCATTTTGGGACGCAGGCCTAAGATTTTGAGACGTAGGCCCTGTTGATTTTAGCCCACCACGTCTCAAAGATATAACTGTTTTAAACATAAACAAAAAGTTAATGTTTTGCAACATTGCAAGTTCACTAAATAGTGGCCTTTTGACCATCACAAGGTCCCTCCGAACAGCACAAGGGCCCTTTTACCACCTCATGAGAATTATATGGCCACTCTGGAGAGGCCCCCTGGCCTTTGTGTTGAAAATCTTATTTTACTTCTATTTTACTTATGAAAGCAAAGTTTAGGGTGCTCTAAAAAAATAGTGGACAAAATTAGGAGCCTTTCCGTTTTTGGGGTTACGTTGGGTCTATCAACAAAGTCACGGGCCCTCTGCCCAGCTTTGTGACACAGTGCAGATTTGTTTAAATATACCCTGCCTGTAACCTACCTACCTACCTACCTAGCTAATACCGGCTTGCTCCGTGCATGGTGGTGCCCGCACTAGATACCATAACACTAGGTACCACTATGCAGCTTTGCTAGGGCTACATAAGGTTCTAAAACTGTCCATTACATTTTGGCTGTTGAACTTATATTGTTGTTTAACTCATCAGAAGATCAACAACTTGAACACATTTGTATTTGCATGATATTGAATTAACATGATGTACTTCCGAGTGCTTATCAATGTTTCAGCACAACACTCCAGTGTGCTGCACTCACCTTGGAAAATGTCTTATGTCAGCCCAAAATCTAATCTAAAATCCACTGTCTACAAATTACTAGGATTGTATAAAAATGTCATTTCTGATTTCATGAAATGTTCTTCTTGTCTATCTCATATTTTGTAGCATTAACAATTGACAACATGTTGAAATAGCGAGCTGTATCCCACCTTGTTCAAGCATACACTATGATAAATAATGAAGTCATGTTGGGTGCTGATTGCCAATATGGTCCTCATTTGTGGCACATATAACCAGGGTTGTGCTCGGCTCAAATTTTTCGGGCTGACTCGACTCTGACTCATTGATAACCTAGGTGACTCAACTCTGACTTGACTCACCACTGAAATTTTATTGGTTGCCTCAAATCTGACTCAACTCAAATTCCAAATTTCCCAGCCTGACTCAACTCTTACTCAACTCATTTGAGTCAGAATGAGTCGGATTTGAGTCAAATATGACTCATGACTCATCACATTTTGCCTAATTTCGCCAAAAGTTGTTGACCGGGAGGGGGTGGGGGTGCGGTCGAATGTGGCTGGAGGTTTGTTCTCTCCATATAAAGCTTCAGATAAAGTTGAAATATTAGCGTTTTCTCTTCGGCAGAATCAGTGACTCTAAAGAGTATCCAGTTGACTCAACTCTGACTCTAATGACCATCAGCGTGACTCGACTCTGACTCGACTCAAATCAGTGTCCCAAAATTTATTTTGGTCCTGGGTGTCAGAGTGGAAAATTCAACCTCCAAAATGATGAAGAGAGTGCAAAATTCAGGTGTGAAAAACCCGACATTAACATGCTTACTCATGAATTGTACATGCGTCAAGAATTGTAGGTATGTTTCTCGGCAGGTGAGCGTGGGACAAACTTAGATATTTAATGTGAATTGGGAGTGATAATCCTGCTAATTAATTTATATTAAAAGTAACGTTTCAGGGCTGTTTTAGGAGTGGAAAATTGGCTCCAAATGTTTCGCATCGGAGGGGAAAATTGCGGCCGTTTTGGGTGTCAGTTCTCACCCAGATCGGCAAATTTTGGGACACTGACTCAAAGCCTTGATTTTTACGGCTGACTCAACTCGACTCGACTCATTTGAGTCAGAGTCGAGTCAAATTTGACTCATGACTCATGAGTCGAGCACAACCCTGCATACAACAATCAACATGTTGCGTGGTGCAGCATTTTTTTTCCAGATCGGGTAAACTGCTGCCTGAATTCCATGAATACTCTCCCACATACATATAGTAAATTTGTAATACTACAATATCTATTTACCAAATATTGAACACCCTGGACACTTTCCTGCTCAAAATTGTGTGAATGCTCGTCCAAGTTTTACAGAATTGCCATAGTTTCTACCATAGCCCAGTTATCATTTTCATTCTTCCTTGGTGTTTGGTATAGTTGGTCGGCTTTTTGTGATAATCGAACAACAACTTGTTCTTGACGCAAATTTATTTTCCGCAGGTGGTGAGCACCTGACGATTCTCCGGAGGCTGGCTGCCCGCGCTGCAAAGACCACAAAGAGGGACCACTTCACAGTACAGCAAGTGTGCACTGCTCCGCAAGTCGCCCTGTTCAAGGAGCACAAAGCTGTGTTTGAAGGCCTGATAAAGGACTCGTGCACGGTAAAAGACGGTAACCTCGTCGTGTTTGCGGAGTCAGTGACTCTGAGTGTGCGGAAGAAGCCTAGCGTGGACTTGTACACGGTGACGGCAAAAATCCACGTGCGCCGTGACCTAAACATTTAGCTCAAGATGTTCCAGCTTGGTGTGCCGCTGGGTGAGGTCGTTGAGTTTTTGAACGTTGGTAGACGCCGACATGTTGTGATAGAAGAGGCATCGATTGAGCAGTTTTTAAAAGAAAAGGTAGCAGCATCTCTTCCAGCATCAGCAAAGGTAGACATCCAGAATGTGAAATCCATCTGTCAGTATCTTAGGAGGCTGACAAAACGTGCTACTGCGGGATCAAAACAAGTCAAGCAGCTGCAAGCAAAAGTGGCAAAGGCGCCTCCCATCAAGGTTCAGTACTTTGTTGGTGATGAATCGATCAAGGCGTTTGTGGACTGCCTGCAAATGAACATTCGCCGCCTGGAAAGCAGCCAATCCAAGAAGAAGTCCAAGAAGAAGAGTAAGCCGCCAAAAGCGCCAGGAAAAAGCCCACGGAACATCCGGAGGATGAAGAGCATGGTGCTGAAAGAGTTGAAGGAAAAGACAGGACAGGAGCATGTTCTGGTGTCTAAGGAGTCTCCAAGGAAGACCGTCACCAGGCTTGATCAGGCGGGAGTCAGCCTCAGAAAGTACCGCCAACTGAAGCTGTCCAACCAACCATCCGAGAAAAAGCTGACAACGGCCAGGAACACTCTAAATGAGCATGCCACCGACGTGGGCATGCTCCTGAAGAATCTCCTGTCGAAATGTCGGTGCGACGGGCCTGCCCGTGTGAAGGTGTCAGTGGACGGACATAACCCGTCGCGCAACATTAGCGCAGTGACATTCTCGCTGTCCCTGGTGTGCGAGAGGGATACACAAAGCTCCAAGTACATCGTGCCTGTTATCAGTCTCCCCGGTGCAGAGACCTACGAGCTGGTGAGAGACTCGAGCGCCTGGGAGCAAATTGAGCGTGAGCTCAATGCAGTGATTGATGTAGGGGGTCGCCACGTGAATGTGGAGTACTATCTGTGCGCGGACTTGAAGTCCATTCTGCTGTACCTAGGGTACAAGAGTGCTAATGGTAGAGACGTGTGCATTTATTGCAGCTGCAATAAGGGCAGGTGGGGTGCGTGCTGTGCGGACGGGAAGTGCCAGGCGAGGTTCCGTCAGGCACCAGATGGTTCGATCGCGTTGCCTGCACTGCGACCCAGTGACCCGGGTTACAAGCAGCCGCCGCTTGTGGACATTACGAGATATAAGTTTGTGATCATTGACATTTTGCACTTGTACTTACGTGTAACTGATCAGCTGTTCGTGCGCTGCTGTAACTTTATGGATAAGCGACAGATCGGTGAATTCCTAGCCGTGTGTCAGCACCATAAGTTAAGCGCGTTCCATCTTCGCGATGAGAACGGAAAGCTGAGATTTTCAAATCTGGATAAGTCCAAGAGAGAGAAGATGATGGAAGCCGTCTTCCTGAAAGAGGCAGTGCTGCGCACGCTGATGCCACCGTCTAGGGCAGATCGGGTGATTGCTGTCGTGGAGAAGTTCCAGCAGGTGTGGAAGCTCATCAACTCCGACGCACCCAACCTCGAGCAGCTGCAAGCATCGGTAGTGGCCTTCACAAAGCAGTTTCGGAAGTCGTTTGCCTCAGACGAGCTTCCAAACTATGTGCACATGATGTGCCATATACCACTGCTGATCGAACATTTTGGATCGCTACGAGCGTTCCAGCAGCAGCGAGTGGAGGCGCTGAACCACGCCATAAACGTCAGGGTGAGGAGCGTCACCAGGCCGGGTGCCATCCAGATGCAGCAAGCCGTTCAGGCGGTGAACAGATCATTGTGGTATGTGTGAGTGTGTGGAATGATGCGGAGAAAACGGTGCTGACTGATGTGAACTGATGTTTCGGCCTAGGTGAAAACGCCAGTGATTTAACTGTGTGTATTGTAATGTGTGCTGCGTTCATCAAGAGCGCTGATGTTTCGTGGTTTGTATTGTAATGTATGTAAATAACTGTATCTAGTAGTACGTCGGTCCTTTAGTATGCAAGGCGTGCAGTGCTGCTGAGGAGATGAGATTGATCGTGAACCGGTGTTCGATTTTAGGTGAAGACCCGCATGTTTTTACCTTCGTGTTGTACTGTAGTTTAATAACTGTATTAACCCTTGCCTGGAATGATATGCGATTTCATAAGGCACGCGTAATGTACGAAATATGTGCACGCCCATTTGCCGTATATTGTTTGGTTGCTCGATTTGTCTTTTGTCTACGCATCAACATCGTTGTCAAGAGCGTTCTGGAGGGCGCTCGCGATGCTAAGTTGAAGTTCTACGATTCATGATGTGACTAGCAACCGCTTGTTTAGTTTTCTCATATTTGTATCTGCTCTGTTTGCAAGTAAACTGCACCTGCAATGCATGTAAGCAAACTGTGTGTTCCTACCTGGTTTGTAAATATACTATTGAGGTTCCCAATACTCGCTGATTTCCTTGTGCGTGGGGAGGGGGAGAGGACGTGAGTGCTTGGAGCGGTATCTGACATTGTGATGTTCATGACACTGGATGACATGACACTGGATTGAGTTGGTCAATTTATTTAGCGTGAAATACTAGCGGTCTTAACACATCAACGACGGGGAGATTTGTTCGAATCGATCCAAATTCTTAGATTTAGTCGAATTTTAAATTTGAAGGACATTGCAAGACCTTGCACATGATGCAATCGTACAAACTGAAACTAAATAATTGCAAAATATGTATTAATAACTAGTACGGCGACTCCCAATTAGTGGAAATCCAGTTTTGAGCGATATTGCAAAATTTTGCAATGTTGCAAGCAATTGAGCATCCAACTATTGCAAAGCACCCTGAGGATGTTGCCATTGGACTCAGCCAGCATCCTCGAATTGGACTGAGGAACTACAGAAACGTCGAAAAACGTCATTTTTCATAACCAATGCAATTGCAAGTGCAATAACGCCGAACTCCCGTGCATCAATGCGACACCTGGTGCACAGTACACATCGCCGTTACATATACACACAGCTCGGTCTCTTAGAAGCGTATGACTCCTTATGAAAGGAATTCAGCAGCAGCTAGAGTGGAAACCTGCAACTTTGAACGTTGACCTAACCATGACCTGACCTGACCCCTCGTGACCTTATGAGAGAAAGTTGATATGGCATAGATGCTCCTCGTTTAGACCCTTCGATTGCTGCCTCGTGCGTCGCGCTATGACCACCCGTTCTCGAGATAATAACAGCAGAAGCGGTTGACGCCGTTAGCGGTCATTACACGTTACGGCGGAAATTAGATGGCCCTACCTAGATTTGAACCCACGCCATTGCGCCACATTTCACTGGAACTTCTCTTTGCCTTTTGCCAAAGTACCGCACCTATTTTTTGTCGTAGGTCGTCCAAATACATACCAATCGAAAGAGAATTTAATAGGCTTTCAATGAAGCGTGAAGGTGAGGGTATGTGGCCATGAACGTTCGACGCAGGGACAGTCAAACCCGAGCTTGGCTAGAAAATGATGCTGATCGAAGGTTAAACCGAGGCTGAAATTTTTCTTTGAGCCCCCGGTACCGCAGTTAAATATCATTTAAATTTGTTTTCAATGGCTGATTCATGTAGAGCTTGAACAGACGATTATTTTGAGCGTGAAGGTGGCTGTGCAGATGGTCACTGCAATGTCACTGCAGTGTCTTTTATGTAAATTTAGCACAATTTCCCTATGGCAAAGGGGTGAACTGAGGTACCACATTTAGGTCCGTGGCCGCAATCTGGGCGCTACGGTGGGTACAATTAACCTCGCCTACAGGGCAGACGGTACGGCGTAGGGGGTTGAAATTTGCACACCTTCTAGGTGACAGAGCGGGTCAGCGCCTTTTCTAGGTTCCGACTCGCTGGGGTGCACGGTTCGCGCGTGGGGCGCGCTGGAAGAACGCCAATGAAATTTTGATCGGTTCGTAGATCTTCATTGAGAGCCGGGGTCGACAAACTTTGTGAGCTAAATGCATGCCGATCGGTGGCGGGTGCCTCGCATTGGCGGATGGGCAAGTTTTAATTTGAATAAATAGTGGCAAGAGATTGTGTAGATTTTCGTTGAATGGCAACAATTTGTGATACGAGTTTGCAAATGCACCGCGTTTGCCGCAATGCGCCACAATTATCTCAGGGCGTCATTTTTGCCGCAAATCGCACAGTTTTGTCAAATATGGCCCGATATGGGTGCAATTTGGTGCCCAGATGCATGCTCAAACAACAGGTACAGATGCGCCGCATTTGCCGCAATGCGCCACATTTGCCACAAAGCGCCATTTCCGACAAAATCGAGTAAGGGCAATGGAATGGCACGAATTATTCTGTGACCTGACATGACCCAGCGGTGTTGGTAGGAGTAGGGGTAGGGGTAGTGGTAGGGGTAGTGTAGTGGTAGGGGTAGGGGTAGGGGTAGGGGTAGTGGTAAGAGTAGTAGTAGGGGTAGGGGTAGTGGTAGGGGTAGGAGTATGGGTAGTAGTAGTGGTAGGGGTAGATGTAGTGGTAGGGGTAGGGGTAGGGGTAGGGGTAGGGGTAGGGGTAGGGGTAGTGGTAGGGGTAGTGGTAGGGGTAGTGGTAGGGGTAGTGGTAGGGGTAGTGGTAGGGGTAGGGGTAGGGGTAGTGGTAGGGTAGGGGTAGTGGTAGGGGTAGTGGTAGGGGTAGGGGTAGTGGTGGAGACAAAAGCAGAACAGTGGCCCGGGCTGATCCCAGCGGACGAGAGGTGACCTATGTGACCTGGCCTGACCCAAAGTGACCGGGGCTGACCCCTTTGACCCGTCTTGACCCCGTATCACCCAAATTTCATCCAACAAAGCCTTCAGAACAGTTTTTTTTTAAATTATCTTCACATTTCCGTCCATATCTATGCTTCTAGACGACACATCGATTTGAATCGAACACCATTCGAAAGCAAATTGGGTGGTGCCGCAATTTTTTCCTACCACGCAGCAAAGCAAGTGGCGCAGCCGCTTGTCTATCTTACTATTTCAACAGGATCCATCTGTTTGTTTGTTTGTCTGTCCGCCACGCCGTGTAGTGGGTTCAATTTAGCCGGCCTACAGGGCAGACGGTATGCCGTGGGAGGTTGAAATTTGCACACCTTCTAGGTGACAGAACGGGTCAGCGCCTTTTCTAGGTTTCGGCTCGCTGGGGTGCACGGTTCGCGCGTGGCGCGCGCCGGAAGAACGCCAATGAAATTTTGATCGGTTCGTAGATCTTCATTGAGAGCCGGGGTCGACAAACTTTGTGAACTAAATGCATGCCGATCGGCGGCGGGTGCCTCGCATTGAAGGATGGTGAAATTATTGATTTTGATAAATTGTGGCGAAAAAATGTGTTGATTGTCGCTCAATGGAAACAGTTTGTGATACGAGTATACAAATGCACCGCGTTTGCCGCAATGCGCCACAATTATCTCAAGGCGCCATTTTTGCCGCAAATCGCACAGTTTTGTCAAATATAGTCCGATATGGGTGCAATTTGGTGCCAAGATGCATGCTCAATCGCCGGGTGAAAATGCGCCGCGTTTGTCGCAATGCGCCTCATATGCCACAAAGCGCCATTTCCGACAAATACGATTAAGCGTAATGGAATGGCACGAATAGGAGCAGGGCTGGGAACACTTTAAGTCTGATATTTTAGTACTGATTGGATCCAATTATTCTGTGACCTGACATGACCCGGCGGTGTTGGTAGGGGTAGGGGTAAGGGTAGTGGTAGGGGTAGTGGTAGGAGGGTGGTAGTAGGGGTAGTAGTAGTGGTAGGGGTAGTAGAAGGGGTAGTAGTAGGGGTAGTGGTATAGGGGTAGTGGTAGGGGTAGGAGTATGGGTAGTAGTAGTGATAGGGGTAGGGGTAGATGTAGTGGTAGGGGTAGGGGTAGTGGTAGTGGTAGGGGTAGGGGTAGTGGTAGGGGTAGGGGTAGGGGTAGTGGTAGGGGTAGTGGTAGGGGTAGTGGTAGGGGTAGTGGTAGGGGTAGTGGTAGGGGTAGTGTTAGGGGTAGTGGTGGAGGCAAAAGTAGAACAGTGGCCCGGGCTGATCCCATCAGACGAGAGGTGACCTATGTGACCTGGCCTGACCCAAAATGACCGGGGCTGACCCCTTTGACCCGTCTTGACCCCGTATCATCCAATTTTCATCCAACGAAGCCCTCAGAACAGTTCTTTTAAAATTCTCTTCACATTTCCGTCCATATCTACGCTTCTAGACGACACATCGATTTGAAACGAACACCATTCGAAAGCAAATTGGCTGGTGCCGCAATTTTTTCCTACCACGCAGCAAAGCAAGTGGCGCAGCCGCTTGTCTAACTTACTATTTGAGGAGGGTGCGTCTGTCCGTTACCGAGGTCCCGACTTGGTGGTGCTTTGCGTGGACTACAGGCCAGACCGTTGCACCTAGCCCGGTGAAAATTGCACAACTCATAGATCAAGGATGCGCGACGTGCCTTTGAGGGGTCTCAGCTCGATCGGATTGATAGGGGGCGCGTGGCGCGTGCTCAAAAAGTGCAAATTCGCGTCATAGACTTTACATGTATAAATCGGCGTGCGAAATCGGGCGAAAACAGCCAAATTTGCCCGACACTGGTCCGGTCCCAGTGCAATATCTTGGTGACCAGGGGTCCGACCGGCACGGGGAAAACAGCATCGTGTAGATAATTGAACGGGCTATCGAATGGTGTGCGGTGCAGGGGATGGCACGCGCCACGTGTACCAGGGAGGGCACTTTATTTGGAAAATTGACGTTTTGAACGGATTTTGGAATTTATATTATTTTCAGGTGACCGTCAGACGGAACGAAATGAAACAACGCCTATTAGCAATAAAAATGTACCGCCTCTCATGGAAAAATTGTGAAAAGCTGATTGATCCAAATAAAGGTGGTACAAATCACGGGAGAAAATGGTGTTTGTCAATTTTGTGCCACTTTATAAATCAAACGGGTTTGCTCTATGATCTGATATCTCTGGCAATTAAAAATGGCACCGTTGGAAAGAGCATTCAATTCTGTCCAAGGCTCAGTCTTCATTTTTTGCATGATGATCAACAGTATTCTTAAAAATGCAAATGTTCCAAACCATTACATTGTCATTTTTAGCGAAATTCATCGATGGCCCTCAAAAGACTTCACGCCAGTTTTCGAATTATTCTAAAGTAGAACGCATGATAACACGACACGGGCACCTCGATGCGATGTATCTTTTTTGTGTTATTACAAAATGCTTGGCCGTCAAAAAGCAATCGAACGAAATTGATCTCAACCAAATCGACACAGACCAACCCAATACCCACGGGTCAAAAATAACCCTTCCTCGCGTTGCGGAGCACGCGGGTCACCCTAGTGTCTCGCCATTTTCGCCCGTGGACTGGAAGTCATAGGTTTACTCCAGTTGCCGTTTCCAGGACGGTCCAGGTGCATACCCACGTGCTCATTTGCAAGC